ATCTATCTATCTATCTATCTATCTATCTAATTTCATCTATCATCTCTCTATCCATCAACTTTATCTATCTATTATCTACCTACCTACCTACCTACCTACTATCTACATATACTTATCTGTAACACTAAACTCTGGTGCTGGAGAAGACTCCTGCGAGTCCCTTGGACTGCAAGGCCATCCAACCGGTCAGTCCTAGAGGAGATCAACCCTGACTGCTCTCGAGAAGGCCAGATCCTGAAGAGGAAACTCAAATCCTTTGGCCAGCTAATGAGAAGGAAGGACTCCCTGGAGAAGAGCCCAATGCTGGGAACGATGGAGGGCAAAAGGAGAAGAAGGGGACGGTAGAGAAGGAGGTGGCTGGATGGAGTCACTGAAGCAGTCGGCGTGAGCTTAAATGGACTCCGGGGGATGGTAGAGGACAGGAAGGCCTGGAGGGACGTTGTCCATGGGGTCGCGATGGGTCGGACACGACTTTGCAACTAACAACAACAAATCTGTTACACTATCTATCAATGTCTATATTTCTCTCCTTCCCTCCCTCCCTCTCTCTCTCTCCCCCTCTCCCTCCCTCCCTCCCTCTCTTCCTCCCTCTGTCTCTCTCTGCAATCTTTTTGTTCTATCTTTCTATCTCATTTCTAGACTTTTGGATAAATAAAGGGCCAAAGGCTCTTGCTTGAGAAGATGTGAAGGATGTCACTTTCACAGATTTTTTTAACATTGATTTTTTCTGATATTTTTTTAATTTATTTATCTATTTGATTAATTTTCCTGATCGAGGGCCCCTGGTAACCCCAACGTCTCCGCGGTGCCTCCACCAAACAACCTCTGCCCAACAACCTTTCTCATCATTTTTAAGACAGGAAATCACAGCAATTGTTGCAAGAATCTTAAAATATGCTTATCAGACTTTGAAAAACAGAATAAAAGGATTGTCCAGGAAAGGCCAGGAAATTTAAAAAATGGTCAAGCCCATCACGGAGTGAAGAGAAAGGCTTGTAAATATCAAGAAAAATTCTAGAAGTCTCCTAGGATTCGTTGCACACACAAATACACGCACACACGGAGACCTAAAAGCACCCCATTAAGTCCACAGCTGAATTGAGTCAACAGACTAAATCCTAAAGCCAGTTTAACAAAAACTTCATTTATTAATTGATTTCATTTATCGCTCATATGTAGCTTCGGGAAGTCCTTGGCTTACCACCATTCGTTTAGTAACTGCTCAAAGTTACAACAGCGCTGAAAAAAATGACCTATGACCGTTTTTCACACTTACGACCATTGTAGCATCCCCGGGGTCAGATGATGAAAATTCAGACGCTTGGCAGCTGACTCACACTTATGACGGCTGCATAAGGGATTCACAGGATCACGTGAATCCCTTTTGCGACCTTCTGAACAGCCAAGTCAAGTTTTATTTTACTTTACATTTTATTTTGCTAACATTTTTATTTTACTTTATTTAAATTTAAATTTTTTTTAAATTGAGCCGAATTATTTAATAATTTTAAATTATTTTAACTTACGTTTGTCTTGTGCTTTTAATAGGCTGTACACCGCTCTGAGTCCTTCGGGAGAAGGGCGGTATAGAAATAAAATTATTCTTATTCTTCTTATTCTTTATTGCTACTTTATATATTACTTTATCTTTTATTTTCATTTACTTTTTTATTTTACTAACATTTTTATTTTACTTTATTGCTACTTTTATATTACTTTATCTTTTATTTTCATTTACTTTTTATTTTACTAACAGTTTTATTTTACTTTATTACTACTTTATATATTACTTTATCTTTTATTTTCATTTACTTTTTATTTCCGTTCCTTTTACTTTATTTTATTCTTTATTTTATTCTGTTTTCTGTTTTCTATTTTCTGCACTGCACTGCATTGTATTATTTTTCACTCAACTCGCTAGCCAAAGTGACTTTTGCTTATTGAGGGCAGGTAACTCTTTGTACTGAATGCAAGGATTAGGTCCCAGAATTTTATCCCCTGCCTCCAGAGGAGCCCTTTGCAAGTGGCGAACGAAACCTCTGTTCCAGTGTTTTTCAACCTTGGCCACTTTAACATGTGTGGACTTCTACTCCCAGAATTCCCTAGCCAGCTAAAGCTAGAGCTGGCTGGGGAATTATGGGAGTTGAAGTCCACACATCCTAAAGCATCCAAGGTTGGAAAAACATTGCTCTGGGCTCTTGTGCCCACTGTATAATTTTATTTATTTAAGCTTTAACTCGTTTTTCTACTGCCTGCTGCAATCTAGAGGGACTTCTGGCCATTAAGAGCCGCAAACTCAATAAAAAATGACATTAAAAATATAACAATGCCATAATTCAATTCTGCGAAAAATGCAGATGGCTCCTTTTTGCATGCATCAGTCCCACCCCGGCCAATTCCCTCCAGAACAGCTCAGTTTTAACTAATGTCTGGAAGGCCAAGAGAGTCAGCAGCGGCCTCGAGGGAGAAACTATTTCACAGCCCAGAAGTTTCCCCAGAACAGAAGGACCTTCTCTGCAAAAGAAGAGGATGGTTTTGATCTGGCCGATTTTTCAAGGGTTCGGCCTCCTTCTGCTCCCAGGCTGATGCCGATCTGTGGCACTCCGACTCCCATCATCCCTAGCCTGGCTGGAAAAATGCGGGAGTTGACCTCCAACAGATCAGGAAGGCATGAGGTTGGGCAAAGTTGGTTTTATTATCAAAAAAAAGAGTGAGATTTAGATCCCACTATAACCATCTTCTGCCTTGGGCTGGGGGTTGGAGTAGAGGACCACTGAGGTGCCTTGCATCCCTAGGATGTTAGGATTCTACAAAATAGATAACGATAGACAGGATAGACAGACAGAGAGACGGATGGATGGACGATGGATAGATGGATAGTAGGTAGGTAGGTAGGTACGTAGATGATAGATAGATAGATAGATGGATGGATAGATGGATGATTGATAGATGGATGGATGGATGGATGGATGGACGGATAGATGGATAGACGGATAGACAGATAGATGGATAGACGGATAGATATATGGATGATAGATAGATAGATAATTGATAGATAGATGGATGGATGGATGGATGAGAGAGAGAGAGAGAGAGAGAGAGAGGTAAGTAGGTAGGTAGATAATGGATGGGTGGGTGATAGATGGATGGATGGATATCTATCTATCTATCTGAGCGCACGTCCAGCTCCCAATAACCTACTTTTAATCAGGGCAGATTGATTGATTTCCGCCAGACTTTTCCCTCCAACACACATTTGCCCTTTTTAATTTACTTCTCCAGATCCCTCTGCCTTCTCTTTTCATTCTTCGGCCATGGCTGTTCTCAAGGACCACAAACTGACACCATGAATGGATGGATAGATGATAAAGAGATATAGATAGAGAGATAGATAGATAGATAGATAGATAGATAGATAGATAGATGATAGATATATCTTTTTTGCCACAGTTGTTAAGCAAATTGCTGCAGTTGTTAAGTGAATCAGATGGTTGTTAAGTGAATCATACTTCCCCCTTCCCCGACTTTCAGCGAGGGAATTGTGTGTCGGAATCCAGCTGCCAAAGTCGCAAAGGGTGATCCTTTGGCCCCCGGACACTCTAACTATTCTAAAGCCCATGTCAGTTGCCAACCGCCTGAATTTTGATCATGTGAACACGGGGATGCTGTGACGGTCATAAGTGTGAGGACCTGTCAAATGTCAATTCTTTCAGTGGCTGTAACTGTAGCTGTAACTTCAAACAGTCACTAAACGAACGGTCGTAAGTCGAGAGCACCCTGTAGTAACATTTACAACCTTAATTTTCTTACTTTCTATACTCAGTACACAGGTAGTCCTCGACGTACGACCACAACTGAGCCCCACATTTATGTCGTTAAGTGAGACATTTGTTAAGTGAGCCCTGCCCCATTTTTCAACCTTCCTCTTGCCACGGTTGTTCAGTGAATCACTGCCGTTGTTAAATAAGTAACGCGGTTGCTAAGTGAATCGGGCTTTGCTTGTCAGAAGGTCGCAAAAAGGGGATGACGCGACCCCCAGGACACTGCGACCGTCAATAAATGCGAGTCAGCCGCCGAGCACCCGAATGTAAATCACGTGACCCTGGGATGCAGCAACGGTCATAATCCTCCGTGCCGTTGGAACTTCAAACGGTCATTAAACGAACTGTTGTAAGTCGAGGACTACCTCTAACACAAAAAACCCACCGTCTTTCCTAAGATCAGAAACAAACCTCCCTGAATCCACTAAAAAATATTCAGCAAGAAAAAGAAAAAAGAAAGCCAAGCTAATTCTTTCCTCCGATTGGGACTCGCATCCATCACCGCCCGTCCCGGCCCGAAGCTCACGTCCAGCCTGTCGCCGGACAAGCGGCCTTGCAACAAAGGCCCCCCCCCCGTGTCAAGGCCGCATCCTGTTGATGCTCAGCTGTCAGCCGAGGACAAATGCCTCCGAGGACGCCAGGAGCTGCTCTTCAAGGATTTCCCGTGGCCGGGAACATTGCACCCGCCTTGGACCGGCCCCAAGACACACACGGCTGAGCCACAACACGCCTGTCTTGTGTGTGTCATTCCCCCCCCCCCCCCCCGTGTCTTCCCCCCCTCTCATGTCACAGCCGAGAGTCCTTGGGAGTCAGGAAGCGCTTGATTTAGGACAGTGTTTCTCAACCTTGGAAGCTTGAAGATGGGTGGACTTCAACTCCCAGAATCCCCCAGCCAGCAACGCTAGAAGAAAGGAGTCAAGCTATTCTCCAAAGCACCTGAAGGCAGGAGAAGAAGCAATGGGTGGAAACTAATCAAGGAGAGAAGCAACCTGGAATTAAGGAGAAATTTCCTGACAGTGAGGAAAATTAACCAGCGGAACAGCTGGCCACCAGACGTTGTAGGTGCTCCAGCATTAGTGGCATTTTAAGAAGAGACTGGACAGCCCCTTGTCTGCCTGCTGATCGGCTCAAAGTCACCCAGCCAGCTTTCATGCCTGGTCCAGTGGGACTAGAACTCACCATCTCCCGGTTTCTGGTTCCAGCTCCTCTGTTGTGGTGCTGGATTTTTGTGCCCGCTTGGGGAATCCTGGGAGTTGAAGTCGGATGGCCACGGTGGAGAAACGCAGCTTTGCACAGTTTGCTCTCCATAAACTTTTCCTTCCCTTTCGTTCAGCTTTTTCTAGGCCTGGCATCCGTTCAAAAAGCATCCAGCGACTTGTTGACGGCATCTTCCGTAGGCAGGGAGCCCACGCACACCCACAAACATTCACACACGCTTCCCCGAGAGGAGAACAAGCCCATCTGTCAGCGGGTGATGAGTGGGGGGGGGGGGCTTGGAAAGTCATCGAACGGGTGGCGAAAACGCCTCCATTGTTCCATTGTGATGCCCTCCACACTTTGGGAGGAGAAAAGGGGCGAGTGAACCTCCAGGGAGTCGTTTAGCCCAGCTTTACACACGCAACAAAGACACACATACACAAATGCTCCCTCACTTCCTATTTGCACTGGGGTTGTGTGGTTTTTTTTTTTGTGAACATTGCAAAGCATGGAAATTTGTCTTCTGCTCCAGAAACCGAAGAGGAACGAAAACGGTGCACAAAATATTCAGCAATTCTTCGTTCAACTCTCTGAAAGCCGACCCCCTCTTCTCTCCAGGCACAGGTAGTCCTCAACTTACGACCATAATTGAGCCCAAAGTGTCCGTCGCTGAGCAAAAACGTTATTCAGCGACGGCCTTGCTTGCTGCAGTTATTAAGCGAATCACTTCCGTTGTTAAGTTGGTCGTTAAGGGAATCCAGCTCCCTCATCGACTTTGCTTGTCAGAAGGTTGCCAAAGGGGATTGTGGGAAGCCCCCACCCCCACCCCGGGATGCTGCGATCATCACAAATGTGAGTCGGTTGCCAAGTGTCAGGATTTTGATTCTGTGTGACAGTGGGGGTCGTAAGTGCGAAAAATGGTCACAAGTCACATTTTTCATTGCGGTTCGAATTTCGAACGGTCCCTAAACGAATGGTCATAAGTCAAGGACCATTTATACTTGTCTTTTTTACACATTCTGCAAGCCGTGGTTTATTGACTAAGCCACAATTGCCCGGGTTTCCAATGGCATCTTGGCTGTAAATCATGCACAGCTGTTTGATTTCATCCAGGATGCTCCGGTTGCAACTCAAGGACTGCCTGTTTCGCTAAGATCTGTGGGAGGTTTTATATCAAAATACATTTCCTTCTTTCTATTGTTTCCATCTTATATCAATATATATATTTTTTATTCTTTCTACTGTTCTCCCTCGTCTCTTCAAACAGGTTAACAAGAACGCACAACGGGCTGAGAATCAGCATCTCCGCCGGCTAAATGGACAATCAAGCTGGAATTAAATTAATCAGGTAAAAATAGCAAGCGGAGGAAAATCTTGTATTCCAACTTCTTCAACCACCTCCAGATAAGTTACCCAGGCCTAATCCACATATCAAAGGATAAGGTCTGTAAACACAAAGACCGAATTAAATTCGGTCTCCCCCTGTGGAACTGCATGTTCAAAAGAATAAACATCACACAGACACACCTACACACACAAACGCCCCTCAAGTGTCACCCTAGAACAAGGGTCTCCAATCTTGGCCACTTTAAGACTTGTGGACTTCAACTCCCAGAATTCCTCAGCCAGCTTTGCTGGCTGAGGAATTCTGGGAGTTGAGGTCCACAAGTCTTAAAGTGGCCAAGATTGGAGACAGCTGGCTGAGGAATTCTGGGAGTTGAAGTCCACAAATCTTAATGTGGCCAAGATTGGAGACCCCTGCCCTAAAATCAACACGTAGACACTTCCCCACCCCCATAATAAACTATTTCACTGTACCCCATTTCTCTGCCGCTGCCCCTAAAGACAAACCTCTTTTGCTTTCCGAAATAGGTAAATATTTCTCATTTTTCCCTCACAAGCTTATCTGGATTTCAGTTTGATTTATATATTCTTGCGCAACCCCAGCTTGAGTTGGAACACCCCCCCCCAAATTGTTCTTTGGCAGCTCCTTCCAACCAACCGACTCAGAGAAAAAGTCGCCAGCCAGCGAGGGACCCCCTTGATGCCATCTAGCCGGGACGACAACTAACCCAGCCAAGATTCTGCCCTGCGAGATGAAGTGATTCTCCAGATGTGGCTCCCAGCAGAGCAGCCGTCCTCGTCTCTCCCAGTGGTGGAAATCCATGCGCTCCCTGTGGCTACGTCAGGGGTGGGAGCGAGGCCGGCCTGCTCCAAGGGCCATTGTTTTTTAGGTGGACAATCCCCAGGAGACCCCCGACATCAAAAGGCCTACGTCACCGGAAACGGGATAATTTGTTTTCTTTCGCTACTTCGCAGCAGGAGTTCCTTTCCAAGAAAGACTCACCCGGGCTTGCCAACACAATCCACCCGGCATCCCTGCCCCTCTGCCAGCCCTACAGATTTGTCCAGAGCTGGAAAGGAGAAGAGGAGAAGATGGATGAGGTAGCCCAGGCAGGTAGACTAGACCAGGATGAGAAACCAAAGCTGGATAGGTCAGGGCTTGGTTTCCTGGACCAAAATAACAGAATAACAGAGTCGGAAGGGACCTCGGAGGTCTTCTAGTCCAACCCCCTGCTCAAGCAGGAGACCCTACACCACCATTTCAGACAAGTGTCTTTTCTTAAAAACCTCCAGTGATGGAGCACCCACAACTTCTGGTGGCAAGCTGTTCCGCTGGTTAATTGTTCTCCCTGTCAGGAAATTTCTCCTTAGTTTTTGGTTGCTTCTCTCCTTGATGAGTTTCCACCCGTTGCTTCTTGTCCTGCCCTTCAGGGGCTTTGGAGAATAGGGGGACCCCCACCCCCAGCGTCTTGCAAATCTGGAGGTTCTCCCCCATTCTTCATGGTGTCTTTCTTGGACTAGGGAGGGTCCTGCCTGAGATGTTTCATCTTCTTAGCCTCAGCTAAAGCCTGTCTTAACTGGCTGATGTCTTGTAGCTCCTATTTCTGTCATTCCCTCCCTCCCTCCCTCCCTCCCTTCTTCGCTTCCTCCCCTCTCCTCCCTTTCACTCTCCCCCCTTCCTTCCTCTTTCAATCTTCCTCCCTCTCTTCCTTCCTCCCTTCCTCCCTCCTTTACTTACTTTTTTAATCTTTCTCCTCCCTCCCTCTTTCACTCTCCCACCTTCCTTCCCTTCCCTTCCCACTTCCTTCTTCTTTCAATCTCCCTTCCTCCCTTCCTTCTTTTTTCAATCTTCCTTCTCCCTCCTTCAATTCCTTCCCACCCTCCTCCCCCCTTCCCTCCATCCCATCATCCCTTCCCATTTTCTCCTCTTTCCTCCCTCCCCTCCCTTCCTTTTTTCTTCCTTCCTTCCTTCCAATCTTTCTTCCCTTCCTTCTCCTTTTCCTTCCTTCCTTCCCACCCTCCTTCTCCCCCTTCCCTCCGTCCATTCATCCCTTCCCACTTTCTCCTCTTCCCTCCCTCCCCTTCCTTCTTTTCTTCCTCTTTCAATCTTCCTTCCCTTCCTTCTCCTTCTCCTTCCTTCCTTCCCTCCCTCCCTCTCTTCCTTCCTTTCCAAATTTACTTTTCATGAGAATCTGCCCTCGGATTTTAAAATCCTACTACAGGTGGGGTCTGTTATTTTACTACTCTATTGTTTATTGTTTAACGCTGCACATTTTCAGCAGCTGTTCTTTCTTTAAAATGTTAAGTTGTGATTTTTTTTTTTAAAAAAAAAGTTTCTTTCTCTTGGTGGAGAATCGCTTTGGGAAGAGCAGCACGGAAAGTTTTAAAATAACATGAATTCCAAGCGCCGGTGGAAAATTGTCCAATCCTACTATTCGCATCCTGTGCTAAACCCATTGGGCTACATTGCCCAATACAGGTAGTCCTCGACTTATGACCACAATTGAGCCCAAAAGTTCTGTTGCTAAGTGAGACATTCGTTAAGTTAAGTCGAGCCTGGATAGCTCAACAGACAGAGCTCTGTAATTTAAGACCAGCTGTCTGCAATTAAAGTAAGATCGAATCCCGCCAGGCTCAAGGTTGACTCAGCTTTCCATCCTTTCTAAGGTAGGTAAATTGAGGACCCAGTTTGTGGGGGCAATAAGTTGACTTTGTATAAAAATATACAGAAGTATGAAGGCTATTGCTTAGCGCATTGTAAGCCGCCCTGAGTCTCCGGAGAAGGGCGGCATATAAATCAAATATAAATATATATATATATAATATAAAAAGTGAGTTTTGTCCCATTTTATCATTTTTCTTGCCCCATGCACACGTCATCAAAATTCGGATGTTTAGCAACTGGTTTATATTTATGACATTTTCAAGCAACAGGCTCTATGCACCATTCCAGACAACTGACTGTCCAATCTCTTCTTGAAGGCCTCCAGTGATGGAGCACCCACAAGTTCTGGTGGCAAGCTGTTCCACTGGTTAATTGTCCTCACTCTTAGGATGTTTCTCCTTCATTCCAGGTTGCTTCTCTCTCTGGTTAATTTCCATCCATTGTTTCTTGTCCTGCCCAGGTGAAAAAACCTTGCATTTCTCCACATTAAATTTCATGTTGTTGGATGGGGCTCATTGTTCATGTTTTAACCTCCGGCCCCTTAATAATCTTCGTTACTCTTCTCTACCTCCTCGTTTCCCACAAATGTTTGGTAAAACAAAATCTGGATGGGTTCACCCAAGACGTGGCCCAGCTAGCCAAAGTTTAGCACAGCACATTCTGCATAGCTAGCATGTCATTCTTTTATGGCCCAGGGTGTGACCGACTGCAAGAAAATTGGCTTGACTAAACCATAGTTAAATATAAGTAAGCAAGCTTTTGCCAACTTAAATATCCCTTCCAGTGCTGGTTCTGTTCTGCATGGATTGGCATTCGGAGGCTGTGTCTGATTTTCAACAGAGTGTAAAATTGTATTAAGCCTAGATCTTGGCAAATAGCTTGTTGATGTTATTTCTCAGATCCTAGAAATCGTCCTTTTAATCCTTCCTAAGAAAAAACCAACCGGAAGTTCAGCAGTCAGGTTTCAAGTTAATAAAAGTTATTTCTAAGTCGAGGATCACAGAGCCAGTTTGGTCTAGAGCAGTGTTTCTCAACCTTGGTAGCTTGAAGATGGGTGGACTTCAACTCCCAGAATCCCCCAGTTGAAGCCACCCATCTTCAAGCTTCCAAGGTTGAGAAACACTGCTCTAGAGGCTAGGTGCTGGGCTAGAAACCAGGAGACTGTGAGTTCTAGTCCCATCT